GATCTAACCGCTGAGCCAAACTGGCCAGGGCCAGAAGATTTTTAATATATGTTGGTGCACCTATATTGGGTGCATATATGTTTATCAAGGTTATATCTTCCTGTTGGATAGATTCTTTCAATATTATGTAGTGGCCTTCTTTGTCTCTCGTTATGGCCTTCATTTTGAAATCTATTTTATCAGATATGAGTATTGCTACGCCAGGTTTTTTTTTCCTTTCCATTTGCTTGGAAGATTTTTTTTCCATCCCTTCACTTTCAACCTATGTGAGTCTTTTGTTGTGAGGTGGGTCTCTTGTAAACAACATATATATGTGTCATGCTTTCTTATCCAATCAGCTGCTCTGTGTCTTTTTATCAGAGCATTCAATCCATTTACATTTAAGGTGATTATTGATATGTACTTATTTATTGCCATTTTTTTGCTTAGTGTGGTTGTATTTTTCTTCCTATTTCTTCTAGTAATTATAGCAGTCCTTTTAACATTTCTTGCAGTGCTGGTTTGGTGCTAATTTATTCCCTTAGCCTCTTTTTGTCTGGGAAGCTCTTTAATTTACCTTCTATTTTGAATGATAGCCTTGCTGGGTAGAGTAGTCTTGGATTCAGAGCCTTGTTTTTCATGACCTCGATTACCTCATGCTATTTTCTTCTGGCCTATAGTGTTTCTATTGAAAAGTCAGCTGAGAGCTTTATGGGGGTTCTTTTGTAGGTAACCTATTGCTTATCTCTTTCTGCCTTTAGGATTCTCTCTTTGTCTTTAATTGTTGGCCTTTTAATTATTATGTGTCTTGGTGTGGGCCTGTTTGGGTTCTTCTTCCTTGGGGTTCTCTGTACTTCTTGAACTTGAATGCATTCTTCCTTCACCAAGTTAGGGAAGTTTTCTGTCACTATTTCTTTAAATATATTCTCTAACCCTTGCTCATTTTCTTCTTTTCGGGGATTCCTATGATGCGAATATTATTGTTTTCAGTTGTCCCACAGTTCTCTTAAGCTGTCTTCCTGTTTTTTAATTGTTTTTTCCTTTTGGTTTTCTAATTGGTTGATTTTTTTCTACCCTGTCTTCTAATTCACTGATCCGGCCCTCAGCTTTCTCTACTCTGCCATTTAGTCCTTCCAATGTGTTCTTTATTTCTGCTATGTCATTCTTCATTTCCACATGGTGGTTTTTAATTTCCAATTGGTTGATTTTCAATGTTTCTATGTCTTTACTTATGGTGTTGCTCTCCTTACACATGCTGTTGAGCTTCCTTAAGATCATGGCTCTGAATTCTAGCTGTGTTAACTTGCTTAACTGCATTTCATTTATCTCATCTTTGGTAGAGGTCTCTTGTTTTTTCACTTGGGATTTGTTTCTTTGTTTCACCATTTTGGCTTTCAGTGGGTTTTGGAGCCTGCTAACCTTTCCCTATGGGTGTTGGTGTTCTTCTGTTTGTGGCTCCCTCTCCTGGGTTTGGATGAGCCAGGTAGGACCCACATTAAACACCACTGTCAAGTCTTACTTTCCTGGGTAGAGTTGCAAGCCCATGAAAGGTTCAGTTATCCTCTAGCTTTTTGCCTGGAGGCTGTTAGTCACAGTTACTTGAAGAGCCTTGGTACCTCAGTTGAATGATAAACTCCCTCAGGTCTTCAGCCTAAGGGGATTTCCCAAGTGTGGGGCAGATCATGGTCTTTAATGAGCCTCAATTTGCATTTCAATGGCCCACAGGGTGGGGTTGGATCTCTGAGGGAGGGGCCGCCACCTCTCCCCAGAGCCCTGGGAAGGAGTAAGATGACCACTGTCCTGTGTGGCCGCAACTCAGCGAAAGCTCTGAGCACCCTCCAAATCTCAAGTGTCCCCACATGTTCCTGTCCAGTTGCCCTCCCTCTGCTGGAGCCCAGGGTGGGTGGTTGTGGCTATTTCAGCATCTGTTCCCGGCTCTGCGCTGTGGAGCCACTTGGGAGTGTACCCCCGAGGGCGCTGCTCACAGCTAAGGCCACTGCTGTCTGTGGGCTCCCAGCCCCCTCTTGCGCCTCCACAATCCTACCAGGATCGGGTCATTGTCCCTGGTTATATGGTTTTTGCCAGCTGCTTTTCTGTTGCTTTTTCCTGATGATTTGTCTTTATTTTCGTTGTAATTCCAGTTTGGTCCTGGGACATGGTCTGTGTAGCTCCATTCACTCTGCCGCCATTTTGGAATCTCCTCTGGAAAACTTTTAAAAAAAATCAGATTCAAGTATCTAGTAGCTCTTGAGACCAAGACAATAGACAGCAGGGATATCTAGGGAACCTACCCCAAGGTCTCCTTAGGAGTGTTCACTATCCAATAGGTAGAATGTCTAGCTACTGTGAGACAGCTTGGGGATCCCTGACAACAGAGTCTTTCAAAGAAGGTGTCTTAGACCGGCATGGTCCTCCACGTGTGGGCAGTGGGCCAGCATTGGGCCAGATATGCTTGTTTTTGGTCTACAACTAGATCAGTGTGCAAATTGAAATACTTCAAACTTTTTATAGAAATGTGACACAGATATATGATCAACCTTTTTATAGAAATGTGACATCCAAATATATGATCATATCTCTAATCATTCATTGTTATTGTAGTTTACAAAAGCACTGTTTCTGTGATAGATTGGAATTTTCTTAAATGGGCTTTCACCATGATAGTTTAGGAGTGCTTGTTGAAAATTTTGTTTCCTGGACCCCAACATAAGCCAATGGAACCCAAATCTCTGGGGATGGGGACAAGTCCCAGGAGTGGCATTGTAACAATCTGCCCGGGTCATTTATTTCAGTATGAAGTTTGAGAACTGCTTCAAGAGGAGGAACAGCACACTGACTAACATATTTCTTAAGTGTAATATTGAGCCCTGGCCGGTTTGGCTCAGCGTTGGAGCGTCGGCCTGCAGACCAGAGAGTCCAGGGATCGGTTCCCACTAAGGGCATGTGCCTCGGTTACCCGGTTGGGATCGTGTGGGTGGCAACCACTCAATGTGTCTCTGTCACATTGATGTTTCTCTCTCTCTTCCTCCTCTCATCCTCTCTATCTTAAATGCAAAAATGTCCTCGGGTAAGGATAAAAAGAAAAGTATAATATTGAGTTTTGAAAGCTATCTACTTTAAAAACCAGAGGTGCAAGGAACAGCTCAGATACAGTTGCCCACAGTCTGCATGAATGAGGCTGTGCTCTCGAAGGGCCCAGGGAACAGGCTCGTGGAAAGCTCTTCATTGCCATCTGCAGGCAGGTTGTAACAATGCACTAGTGTGCACAAATGTGTAGAATGTGACCACAGGCCAAAGCCAGGGTTGGGAGAGCAGCCAGGACTGGCCATGGCCACGAACTTGTTACACAGCTCTGATGAGGAAACACTGAAGCTTTTTCCCTCCACAGACACAGATCCTGTGCCCTCATCAATAGAAAACATTCTTGTTTGTTGCAGGTTTAAAGTCACTGGGCATAAAAGAATTTAATTCTCCCTGGGCACATGGCTTTCTTATTCATCGTGTCAGTTCTTTATAGATGATTTTGTGAGGAATAGGGAAAGTGTTCATGGAGCAGTAATTGCTTTTCAGAAGGCAGGACTTCTTTATAACCTGTACTGGCTGCTCAGATTGGTGCCCACTGCCCTCTGTAACTTCAGGAAGAAGGGCCTGTCCTTGGTTCTCTCTGGGTCATCTGAATCGCTGTCACTTTGGGGCAGCCCAAGGAAGGGGCCAGAGCTGGACCGTAGGTCAGCCCTGGAAGAGGAGGAGGAAACTGGTAGAACTGAGAAGAGCTGACCAGTAACTGGGAGTTCTGACCTCGCTCTTGAGAACAAGTTCACTTTATCAACTTGAACGGAATAGACTTCTCTTTGTTAGGAACATGCATTCCTTTCGGCCTCAGTGCTATATCGAGGCTCGCAAGCACAGCTTGTAGAGTCTTCTGGGCAGGGCACCTCTGTCGTTTCTGGAGCAGCATCCTTCTCCAGTCTCCCTTCACCCGTGTCCCCCAGGTCCCCTTTAGCTTCCGGCCTCACCTGCCCTGGGCAAGCCCTCCGCCTGTCCTGTGCAAAGTAGGCCCCTCTCCTTCTCCCCGTGCCCCTTGTGCAGGACTTTCTCTGGTTGTGGGGTTTTCATGATGCAAACAGGGTTAATTAATTAGAAATAGGATTGCCCTCTGCAGACAAACATTGCCTGTAACTGGAACTGACTTTCAGGGGTTCCCTTTTCAATGAAAGGGAGGTGCACATCTTTCTAACATTCAAGGGGTGTTAACCAGGTGACACCAGGAAAAGAAAGCCTGTTGGCTCGGTGATGGTTAGGGTTACAGCTGTCTGTCTGAACATTAAAATAAAGAAATTGAAGCAACTATAATGCTGACACTTCAAGTGAGAAAAATAATTTTGTTAATCTGAATCTTAAACTCTCTGTCTACAACCCTATTTCTTTCACTCAGACAGCTGTTTTATATCTAAGGTATAATGAAGCGGTTATTTTATGATCAGTTTGATCATGTGTTCCCGTGAGACTGCGGCCTTCAAGTTTAGTAACATTGTCTTTTATTGTTGGTCCCACAGTAATCAATAGAACAAGTACGTATATACTAGTATTTCATCCTTTTTTAAAAAATTCTCACCTGAGGATATGTATTTATTGATTTGAGAGAGAGAGGAAGGGAGTGAGAGAGAAAGAAACATCAAAGTGAGAGATACACGTCAGTTAGTTGCCTCCCATATGCACCCCAACCAGGGATCAAACCTGCTACCCAAGTATGTGCCCTGACTGGAAATCGAACCCACAACCTTCAGTTGTACCGCGATGCTCCAGGCAACTGAGCCACCTGGCCAGGGCTGCGGGAGTTGCACCTCAATATGCCCCGCACCCCGTGCACCGGTCCTCCCACGTCCTGGCACTTGAGAGCCCGCAGCTGTAAAAAGAGCGAACGCAGAGCAAGGTTTTGGCCACTGCCTTTCCCGCCAGCACCGGTCCCACATTCCCCTCCCACGTGGAGTTCATCGCTTCCAATCTCCTTTCCACATCAGGAATCCTCATCATGATGTCCCTGTGCAGTGAGGTGCACGTGTACGAATACATCCCGTCCGTGCGGCAGACGGAGCTTTGCCACTACCACGAGCTGTACTACGACGCGGCCTGCACGCTCGGGGCCTACCACCCGCTGCTCTACGAGAAGCTGCTGGTGCTGCGCCTGAACGCGGGCGCGCAGGGGGACCTGCACCGCAAGGGCAAGGCCGTGCTGCCCGGGCTGCGCGCCCTGCGCTGCCCCGCCCCCGCCGCTTGACGGGACTCTGGGAGCCAGTGTGCAGTAAGGTACTACTGTTGTGTCCTCCGTCACAAAAGGATACTTGAAGATGTCGTTTTCAGGCCATGTAGTCTTGAGTCTTTAAACTGGAACTTAGTGATGGCCACGAGAATTATTTTCTTTCTAAGCCATTGAGTATTTATTACTGCTTTGAATATAGTAATGGAATTAAAAGGGAACAAAAGATCAAGAAAGAATAGCTGGAAAAAAAGAAAATGTATAACAAAAATGTTAAGCTTTTCTTATGCCTGGGGCATGGCTTATCAGGGTTGGTCAGGGACACATCTACTCTTAAGAAACGGTGTATACCTCGCAGCACTGACGTTGAGTTACAGTGTGATCACATCCGGTGTGTCACTTGGACGGGCATTCATCATTAAAGATTCTAGAGTTTATGACGAATGTCTGAATTATCACTCAGAGGTGTTTATCTCAACAGCAGAAATCTTTAGGAGGTCCTGTGAGGTGCCCACGCTTCCAAACCAAGCATTCGCCATCTCTGCCTCCCGTGGCCACTGAGCGATTTGCTCTGAGTATCAGGACACATTTCTGAAACCACACAACATCCATGTTGAGCAGGCCCAGAACAACCAGCCCCAGAACAGCACCTCAGAGGAGATGCCTGGTTTTGCTGCGATTTCCTTACCCAGCTGAGAGTGTCCCCAGGTGGCAAGGAACATCCCTGGGAAGTCAGTCACGAGGCTGCAGGTGGCCCTGCACAGGACGTTCCCTGCCACCTGCCAGCCCTCCCCACGGCCTCGCAGTTCTGCGCCCTGGCGGTGACGACGCACCTGTGGGAGGGGGCTCCTTCCATCCCGAAGGAAGGGTTTCGGACCAGTGACCCTGTGCTTCCGGAAGCACACTGTGTCCTTCACGAGGATTTCTTGCAGGTTAATATCAGCTATTGGAAACCCGACACTAGTTCTTTCTACAGATGGGCATTTAGGAATCCCATCCTTGTTTTCACAGTACGTTTTATGTCAGCAACACAACAAAGCCATATAATTAAGTAAAATTGTATGAAAGTGTGGGTCTTTAGCAACAAAGAAAACACCTGTCAGCTTCAGGGGGAAAAGCAGTTGGAGGGAAAATTGTCACCAGTGCATTGGCTATATTCAGCTTTTGTATTATTTAGTCTTAACTTTTGTCACTGGTACATTGAAAAAAAACTTTTGATATAAGCATGATGAAACAGAAACATTTGACATACCTTAATTAACATGGTGTTATTTCAATATATAACATAAACATACTTCAACAGTCTGGTTAACACTTCGCAGTGACCAGAACAGCTTCATTAGATACTTCTCCCTGGAAGGTGTGTGAATGTCAGGAGTTTATGGAAAGTTTCTTTGTTCCAGGACTGTCTCTTTCCCGAGCCCTCTCAGACTGCTTTCTTGAGCAGGAGTGATTTACAGAACTGACAGCTGTTTGGTCCGCCTCCTGAGCAGAAACCCGGCTGGATGGCAGACGTGGCCTGTGGCTGCTGAGTGGTGAGGAGGGTGGCCAGGAGGTCTGACGTGGCGGTGTCCACGAAAGCCCCTTTGAGAACTTTGTTTCTGTGAGACGGGATGAGTATTTTGTCCTACACATTCTCTCATGTCTGAGCAGACATGGTCAAGCACTTTTCTTATTTCCTGAAAGAGTTAGTCTTGTACCATGTTTAGTGGGCGATGGGCTCGGTGATCCTGGACGCTCCTGAGGTGGCCCTGATGCGGTGGATGCCCTTCCCACATCTTTAGTACCCAGGACACCCCCTTGGATGACTTGAGAAATTGGTTAGAGGGAAATTTATTGGGGTCAATGTAAATATTCAAGTTCAAAAACCCCAGAAAATACTTCAAAGATTTTTAAATTGCATAATTTGTAACAGAGTTTTTATTTTTTTATTATTATTTTTTGTTAATTCTCACCCGAGGATGTTCTTTCATTGATTTTTTAGATAAAGTGGAAAGGAGGGAGGGAGAGAGAGAAGCATCGATGTGAGAGAGACGCATCAATTGGCTGCCTCCTGCAGGAGCCCGGCCAGGGCCGAGGATTGAACCTGCAACCCAGATACGTGCCCTTGACCGGGAATTGAACTTTCTGACTGCTGAGCCAAACCTGCCAGGGCATTACATATATTTTTTAGAAGTACTTTCATTCTCACTGAAATTATAAGAAAGACTGAAGAGTACAGAAAAAAATTAATTAAAATTTTTGCATTTATTGTTTAAAGACTCTTGGGAATCAGGATTTGTTAAACATTTCAAAAATGTGATCTACATGTTAATATAGCATGGGCTGGGCTGTCTTCTACTTAAAAGTTTACATTGTTCAGCCTCTCACAATATCAGCAGTTGGGGAGCGGACGCCTGCTTCGAGAGTTAGCCGGACTGGGCGCCTGGCCAGAACCCCTCATCCTCGTCTGTGATGCACACTGGTCAGGTCCTTGTGGTGCAACCCGAGGCCAGCAGGTGTCCCTTGCTTCACTCTCAGAACCAACAGAGGTCACGGCGCTGTATATTTCATGATCATTTCACTTGATCTTTTTTTATTTTTGTTGTTGTAAGCACAAAGAAACAAATGTGTTGGCAAAGAATGACAACTCACCTTCATCTAGACTGTCCCTGACCCTTCCACCTGCTCCCAGCCCGGCGGGGTGAGTGTGACAGGAGCCTTCTCGGGGGGAGTGCAGGGCTGCCCCGTGTCTGGCCCCGCATCCGTTCACACAGGGCTGTCTTCTCAAGAACAAGCCATGTGGGGCCGCACTCCCGTCCACCACGTTACTCAGGCCCTGCTAAGCCAGCTCAGGTGGGGTCAGCCTTACATCACATGGTATGTGAGGTCTGCACACTGGACTCGGGTGCTCTGAGCCTCTCTGGAGAGCACGGCACAGTGCACTTTGGGCTGGTGGCCAAAGTGACCTGGCTCAGTTCTGCTTGGCTATGGAGAGGAACCCGAGGGGAGGCGGGAGGGTTACGGGAAATGGATGACTGAATGTATAGGCCACACAGCCCTGCATGTACTCACCACACTGTCTGTGACTGCTCACGCTCCTGGTTGAGCGCTCGGCCCAGGGTTGCACAGTTGGTGAGGGCAGCTGCGTTCAGGAATGAACTGCTTACCTGGAGCGTGCCTGTATTCACGTGTGTTTTTTGTGCTCTGAGCATTTCCATTGTGAAAATAGTCTGCATGTCTCCGCCCTGGGCATTATCTGCACAGTCAGTAAATGAAAGGTGCTTCTCCGTCAATTCAAGGATCAAATGTAAGTGCCGATTCTTGTTTTAGTGAATGAATGAAGCCTTTTAGTAAAAATGTAATAATAATGCAGCCTATTCCTCTACAAGTTTGGACTAGTGGAATTTAAAGAATTAAAGATATTGATATAGTTCTCACTCTTGTTATAAAAAGTGTGCATATAGATATAGATATAATTGTATAGACACATATCTACACACATGGTTTGATTTATATTGTCTTTTTTCATCAAACATTTATTTCTGAAACCTTTACAATACATTTTACTTTATGCAAACACAATTTTTTTAAGAGAAGGAAGCAAATGTTATATGTCCTTCTGTTAAAAAACAATGTAGTCTTCCCACACTCGAGTTTTACACATCTGGGCTGCATTGGAAAGCACATCAGACAAACCACAGGTAACAGGGTGAGCCCCCCCCCCCCAGCCTAATTTCATTCTAACGTTTGATGAGAAGCTTATACAAGCTCATGGCTTTTACAAGATAAGGGAAGGTCCATTCATTGGTTCTATGGAAAAGAACGTTCTTATGTAGGTAGGGTTCAGCAGATCAACTGCACTGGTCAGTAAGACCTAACATGTATGGTATTGCACGTTCTGTTTCATCCTAGATCAAAGTACTTAGGAAAATTTTCTGGTGGAAATCAGTGAACTTTTTTAACAGCTTTGAGACTTTTTTTGTATGATAATTTTTAAAATGAAATGTGTGTTCTTCAAACCAACTAAGGCTTAAGGTTTTCCAGGAGTCACATTTTAAAAGTGTTTGTACATGTTTTAACATTTTTCTATTTTCTATTTTGTTTTTGTGTATTTTTATGTATGCACAGTGTACAGACTTTTTCTTGTAAATAAAACGCTTTTCACTTGTGTAGAAGTTTCTGTTTTCATGTGTCGAAGTTGCACGTGCAGATGAGTGGGTGGCGAAACCATGAGGCGTCCCCGGGAGGAAGCCACAGGCTGGGGTCGAATCGGAACCTGAGAAGAAGCCCCAGCAACGCCTCCCCGCGGGGAGCGTGGACGCACACACGCGGGACGGCAGCGCAGGACCAAGCCAAAGGGGCATGTCAGCTAACAGAGCCTGATGTCCACTCAGCCCAGCACTCTGATGAATTTGCTGCCTTGGGAGACTTCGTTAGTTCCAAGGGGCTTGAAGTCACAGTTCAGATCAGTTATTAGAGGGAGGCCTGGAGGCAGCGAGCACCTCAGCCCACTGCAGTGTCAGGTTAGCCTCGCGTTGCGTGCAGGGGGCAGTCAGTTCATTAGGCTCCTGAAAGAAACCCCCGGCATTTGTGCTTTTGGTTAGAATGTGAGGGAGTCCTTGAGGGAGCACTAGGGGTTTGACGTGAGGGCTGACTGAGCAGGTGGGGAATTGGGACACGGATCACTGCTGACGCGGTGCAGAATCCCAGAGGACGGCCCACCTCCTTATCGCCGGCTTTCTTCCCTGGAACAGGACTGCTTGCTCCAGATAACTAAAGCCCAGGCCTGGTCAGGGAAGGCTCAGAGGACGCCACCCCCACTCAGAGAGCAGCCGGGGAGGGCCTGCCTCGGACCCGGGACGCACAGACAAGGCCGACTTAGCCAGCAAAGCCGGGAAGGACGTGGGGGGAGAACAGGGTAGGAAGAAGGAAGGCTGAAGTGAGAAAGTAAAAAACTAGTGCCATTTGCATACCAAATTCATTCATTTAGAACCCAGACTGTCTCAGACTACAGGCTCGTCTGTTGACCCAGCTCTGTACACTGATGTCTGCGCCCAAGAAACCCGGCCACACGAATGTGCAGGGAGCGGGTCCCGCACTGCCCCTCCGCTGGCTCCTCTGCCCGTAGCCGGGTTGGCAGTCGTGGCCACAGTCTGTTTTCGTCCACAACGTGGTATTAGCAGCCGCACGTTTGTCTACGTGTCATTTGTGACCACTGCGTAAAAGGCAGTGGTGACAGAACCTAGAGCCCACCACGCTTAACAGTTATCAGCTGCCCTGTGCAGAAACGGGGCACCACCCCGAGCATAACTCACTGAAAGTCATTCAGGCAGGCCTATGGGAGTGCAGGCCGTCCTCGCGGAACCACTGTCCCGGGAGATCATTCCATCGCTCCAGGAGAGAGGGGTCAGAGGGGTCAGCGAGTTCGTCAGCCTGCGGTCGCACAGCCGGGCAGTGACACCAGCCGAGCTTGCTGTCCTTGTCTGACTGCAAAGTCCACCTTGGAACCAGCACGTTAGTCTTTTAGAGCAGCCCCTCCCTGAGGTAACTCTCTCACACTCAAAAATCCCATACCCCGGCATACTCCAAGGGCTCCATTTTGGAGGATAAATTGTACTTTTATATTTTTAACAAATTCCCAGAACACTGAAGTGTATCTGAACTGTACGTGTCAATCAAGTACCATTCTTATTTTGTTACTAAAAAGCCAGTCTCTCTGCCACAGCCCAATGCAGAGGGTGCTGCTGATGCGGCCAGAGAAGGCGGGGGGACTGGGTCACCCCCGCTCCCCAGCTGCTGGCCTCACTAAACCCTATCATGCTGCAGGACAAAGCTGTGCTGATGTCGGAAAATGCAAAAACTGGTTGCGAAAGTCAAAGTAAAAGAAAAATCAATCACTTTGGAAAGAGATCTTCTCCTTGTCACTGCTGACCTCCGGATGTCCTCACGGATGGGCTAACAGCGGCATGCTCCTCGGCTGATGCAGTGCTGATGCAGGAGATGGGGGGTTCTCTGAGCTGCTCTTACTCTCACTGAGGGAAGCTGCCTGAGGGAGCCCAGCGGCCGAGGGAGCCCTGGAGGAAGGCAGAGGCCCAGGCTCCCTGGGCCCGAGATGAAGGGCACTGCCCTCCGTAGAGGTCAGAGGCTCAGCGCTGACGCAGAAGGTGGCCTGCGGTCTGGAAGACCCTCGTCTGAACTTCATAGCAGGGACGTGAAAGAAACTGACTTAATTATTTTCCATGACTAAACTTAATTTTTTAATTCCCTTTCCAACACAAGGTAAAAAGTATCATAGTTCATCTAACCTAAGACATAAGTAGAAGTCGCACCCTTTTTCATGTGTACCATTACAAAGAAAGCTGCTGCAACTGAACTATGATGTGAGTCTTACATCTTACATAGGCACACGCTGCTCAACACTCTGGCCACGGCCACACGTGGACACCGAACACTTGGAACGTGGCTCCTCGGAGCTGAGAGGTGAAGTACAGTTAAAATACTCCCTGGATTTCTAGGACATGGTACGAAAAGATGAATGTAAAATATACATTGATGACAAGTTGAAACAGTATTTTAGATACATTGGTTTAAATAAAGACATGTTATTAAAGTTAATACCACCTGTTCCTTTTTACATTTTTAACGTGCTTACTAAAAGATTTAAAATGTTTTCTTTGCTCACCTATTTGCAGTAACAATAGTAACTTCAAAATAGTTGTTGAATAAGCTTTTCGATTTATTTAGACATAAATTTTTGTTCCATGTCACCTTTGTGTACACAGAAAGCAAAATACAAGTGAAACAAACTTTTTAGTGTTCTCTTTCTCTGTACTGC